AAATTCTGAGTTCTCATTTAGATGCTGATTTTTCAGAAAGTGAGGGTACCTGCCAAATCTTCAATTTTCAGCAACTAATATTTAAGTGTTTTGTTTTGTTTTATAGGAACAAGAGTATAGCTGTGTGGTAAAGATGCCTTCTGGTGAATTTGCACGTATATGCCGAGATCTCAGTCATATCGGAGACGCTGTTGTAATTTCCTGTGCAAAAGATGGAGTGAAATTTTCTGCAAGTGGGGAACTTGGAAATGGAAATATTAAGTTGTCACAAACAAGTAACGTTGATAAAGAAGAGGAAGCTGTAAGTAGTTTTAAAGTAAACAAACTACTTTGAAGAGAATTTTAACACTGCTTAATATTAGGTTATGTCTGTTTGGGCTGTTATAACAAAGTATCATAAACTGGTGGCTTATAAGCAATGGAAATTTATTTCTTTTATAAGGGCATAATCCTATTCATGAAGGCCCCACCTCTGAATACCAGCACATTGGGGATTCAGTTTTAACATGAATGGGAAGAACAACACAAAACATTCAGTCTGTAGCAAGATAATTACTAAACATTGCAGAAAACTCTAAGGAAAAATTAGACAAAATTGCATTACTATAATTTGTGGGCAGGGAAGGCAAGTTTGGTGGTTTCTTTATAAATCACAGAACAGTATGTTTGTGTATCACACCCACACATACTTTTAGGATTGGATTGGGAAGCTAGGTGTCTAACCTTTAGCTTTCTAGAGATGTTTACTCCGCTTTTATCAAATAACTGAGCAAAGGACACCTCAACAGAAGGATCTAGTTAGGGGTAAAAATCTAGCTGTTAGGAGCTCTAGTTAATCCACATTTACCCAAAAACTAACACTAATTCCAAAATATCCTTAAATTAAGGTTTTTCCTGTAATCAAGCAGTTGTATGTTTTGCTTTGTTTTGTTTAGATTCTTAGAATATTTTAAAACTAATATTTGGTAATTGCACTAAAATAAGACTTCCTAGCCAGTGAACATCAGTTGACTCTCTAAAACAAGAACAATTAAAAAGCCTAACCTCACAGGATTGTTAGGATTAAATATAGTAATAGTCAATGTGCTTAATACAGTATCTGGCATACTGTAAGTTTATAGTAATTGGATATTTTCTTGTCCCTTGCTTGAGTAGTCAACCCACAGTTTAAATGAAAATAAACTCAATTTTTTTTCATTTTGAATGCCCAACAGTAAAGCTAACAATACTTAAGAAAATTTTGATTTTCATTACTAATTTATTTCACATTTATTCTATGTAAAATACTGTCACACTAAATGAACATATTGTGTACACAGGCAAGATAAGCTCATAACCATAATTCTAATGCACAGTATGGTAATGTACTTTCACATATTCTCTCTGCAATGTGAATTTAATATCTGTTATGGATTCTTCAATATTAGCTGGAATATTCTGTAGATGTTTCAAATAAAGACTTTATTTTTCTATTTTTTAAGGGAGGAAGAAAGAGAGGGAGAGAAACATTGATGTGTGATAGATACATCAATTGGTTGCCTCTTGTGCGTCCCTAGCTGGGCACTTGGCATGTGCCCTGACTGGGAATTGAACTGGTGACCTTTCTGTCACAGGCTGGCACTCAACCCACTGAGCTACACCAGCCAGGGCCAAATACAGACTTCTTAAAAATTATATTAACAACAAAAGCCTAGGGGCTAATTCCAGCTTTTATCTGTCTCCTAAATTACACTTCACTTTCTATCCAGCTTCAATTTTTAAAAAAATCACTGACAGTTGTGTGTGTGTGTGTGTGTAATCTCTATGTATGTATATGTGTTTATACAGATAGATTTTAGAGAGCGGGGGAGGAGGGAAGAGAGAGACATTGATTTGTTGTTCCACTTACTTATTCATTCATTGGTTGATGCTTGAATGTGCCCTGATCTGGGATCAAACTTGCAACTTTGGCATATTGGGGCAACACTCTTAACTAAGAGTACTACCTAGTGAGGGGCATCCATAAATATTTCAGTATTGCTCGAAGTATAAAGTTTACCATATCCAAGAAAATTATGCAGTATTAAAGAATTTCTCAGTGTTCCTGCTTCCTTGGTCACGTCAGGACCGTTTGAATCAAAATTTTAAGAAGTTTCATACATTGCACTGCAGTTGGTTGATATAACCCTTAAATTTCTGTCAATCAATTGGTTCTCTTCAGTTTGTTTTTGCCTCTCCATTACCGTTTCACATTTTGAAGAAACTAGGTCATTAGTCATTACCCAAAGTCTAGATTTTGCCAGTTGCGTCCCTTATGTCAGTTTGTTCCTCTACCCTGTATTTCCTATAAACTAGTGGCTCTTGAGGCTTGATGCTATTCAGGTTTTTTGTTTTGGGGGTGGGAGAGCAAGAATACATAATACATGGTGATGTGTACCCCTAGTAGGAGTCATGAGGTATCTGAATACCATTCTGTGATTTTAGCACCCATAATAGTAATGTCTAGATTAAGTCATTAGATTTTGCATAGTCATAATATATTATATAGTTCGTTATTCATTTATTAGTTGGTTTACTTACTAGAAATGTTTTCATAAAGAGAAGCTCTTATCACATAATTTGGTTACCTGGGATTTGGTTCATATATGGAAAGGCAGGCTGAATACTTGATTCTTTTGCTTATTAACCTGTTTTCAAAATTAGTTTTGTAGCACCCTCCAAAGTAATCAATAAAGGTTTTTTTTTTTAATGCATATTATAAACTAACAGGTTGTAACTTGATGTTTTTCAATATTAGGGATCTTTTGTTTTCTCCCTTAGGTTACCATAGAGATGAATGAGCCAGTTCAGCTAACTTTTGCACTGAGGTATCTGAACTTCTTTACAAAAGCTACTCCACTCTCTCCGACAGTAACACTCAGTATGTCTGCAGATGTACCCCTTGGTAAGATAATTAATTTATTGAATCTTGTTTTTTAGGTAGTGCATGTCATACATCTCAGTAATTAACTGTGTTCCTGTTTTCTTTCAGTTGTAGAGTATAAAATTGCTGATATGGGACATTTAAAGTACTATCTGGCTCCCAAGATCGAGGATGAAGAAGGATCTTAGGCATTTCCAATGTCCAAGGAAAAAAAAACTAAGCTCTTTGAGAACTGCTTCTGAGATTCCAACATGTCCTTAAAAGTCTCTTCTGTTACCAAATTTTTATACCTGAGTACATATGTAGATAATGTTCTCTGTAAATAACCTATTTTTTTCTCTCATTCTCTACAATTTAAAAGATAGCCTCAATTCAAATCTGGTCTTATTAACCTAGAACTACTTCTGCCTTATCTAGAAATACTCTTTAGGATTTTTATAACAAAGGGTTTTAACTATTAGTGCAGTTTTAAGAATTGTTTTCAATCTAAATAAAAGTTACTTGAATTTCAAACATCACAGGACAGTGCCTTCATTTTTGAACCAAGACAGTTGAAAGTATGCTAGCAAATTCACAGCTAATGCTATCTTGTGTAAATGTTTTCTCCCCTGCCCCACAGTCTAGAGCAGCCAGGTATAAATACATTAGGGCCATGAAAAGTGCTTCATGCAGTAGGTGACAAGATATTTAGGAGGATTCATTTGCCAAACTTATTTTTGTATTCTTGAGCTCAAGAATGGAACAGAAGAATACAACAAATTCTATGTATTTCATTACTTTGTCGTTCTGTTGGCAAAACCTATACTTCAAAGTTGTGTGGGCTTTATAAGACTAGCATTGTTACAGGGCAGTGTTTCGTTGGCCTAGGGATCCTTTTACAAGAATCTTTGATGTTTTACTAGGCCTGATAGAGCCCAAGGAATATGTGCAACAGCAACAACAAAAAATCTTCAGTATAAACAGCCTTATTTGGGACTTGATCCCTTAAAGGGTGAAGATGGCTTAAATCCCATGGATGGTGGAATCAACCAAGAGAAAAGGCCCAGCAGTTGTGAAACAAAAGCTGTTTAAACGTTCCCAGTTGTGCTACGAGGTCACAAATTGGCATTTTACATACTAAGAATTGCTTTATTACAGTTGATTTTCCCATTGCGTTTTGTGTTTGGTGGAGTGAATGATTAGTTTCTTTGTTATACTGGGATTGAGTTCTAGTTACTGTACTTTAGAAATCACTGTATCCACTGGGTAACTTTTCATTACCTTCTGTGAGCCTGGGAGGAAGGAGATGGGCAGGAAAGGAGCCTGATGGAATTTTGGGGGTAATGAAAATACTTCATCTAGACTGGTGATGGTTCCAAGACTGCATTTGTTAAGCCTCACCCAATTGTACTTTATTGTATGTAAATTATACCTTAATAAATCTTACTTTAAAAAAGCTTTACGTGCCCAGACCGGCTAGCTCGGTTGAACGGTGTGCAGGCGCACGCAGAGGTGTGGGTTTCGGAGGGGTGCCGTTCGGGAGACAACCGATGAATGCATAGGTGGGCGAAGCGATGCGTTGCTGTTGCTGTTGCCCTCATTTATTTTTGAGTCGCACGCGGCAAAATGTCCCATGTGGGTGGCCCTCTTAACTGGGCAAGGCCTGGGGTTAAGGAGAGGGAAAGAAGCACAAGAGTGGCCATTCTAAAGCGTAATTAGGGGTAATGGCTGGCAAAGACCACCGCGTGGCCCCGTGTAAGGCTGGCTGCCCTGAGCAATAGATCTGGCAGCTCTGGCACTACTGGACCTCCGATGGGCTCGGCTTCCACTTCCTGGGGGGCGCTACTAGGCTCCCTACACTGCCGAGGAATCGGGAAAACTGCCGGATTGTCCACGGCCGGACTGTGACCCGAGGCGGATGGACACCCTACAGACCTAACCACCCCTGCGAGGGTGGCTGGCGACAGGCCTGGGCGCCTCCCGAGAGTCCCGGTTTCCCCGGGGGCGCCCGAACTAACGCAGGGTTGTGAAAAGACCTTTCCGGAAAAGCAGGACCGAAGGCGTCGCTCCCAGTGATGCCACTTTCGTTATGTCGCCTTCCTTCACGCAATTTCCGGCAGTGAGCTGGTCCGGGCCGGGTGGGGAGGGTGGCAGTTAGGCGAGGAATGTCATGAGCGTCTCTGTTTCCAACGGTGAACTAGCTGTCTGCGGCACGGGCTACTCGGCACGGAGCTCCGGTAAGGGGTGCAAAAAGCAGGGCGGGCGCAGGAGTGGCGCTTCAGACTCATGGCGTGGCAGGGACTACGCTCCCCGCCAAAGTCAAGCCCCGAGACCTCCGGGTGTAGTGTTATCCCACCTCGGCAAGGCTGGCCTTTTCCCAGAAACCGGTCTTGTTTGTTCTAGGTCTAAATTCGCGTCGGTTCTTTCTTCTTTTCCTGGCACGGTCTGGAGGAAGGCAGGAAACTAGCGTATGTGCTGGCGCGTAGTTCCAGGCACTGTGCTAAGTGATGCTGATTCTTTTAAAATTTTTGCAACATTCAGGTGCAGGGGGAATTTGGAAGTTGCAGTGGAGCTGGAAAAAGAGCCTGTTGGAACTTTTAGAACATTGATTTCCGTACTTTCCCCTCTTTTAGAATTCTTATACCTTGCCACCAATAAGCTTTCCCCTCCATTCTCCCTCATGCCCTGCGCTGTTTTGTTTTGTGCGAGTATATGAATAGTTACTGGCGGAGCCCACAAACTTTTTTTAAAAAAAGACTAATACAAATCAGAGGTGATTAAATGCCGTCATACACCCCCTCATATAGGTAGTTTGGACTTTAAGTTTTATAAAATTAAATTTATATTATCATGTCATCGGATCGCAACATCTGAAAACTTAATATTTGCACTGACTGGTGTGGCTCAGTGGGCTGGGCGTCGACTGGCAAACGGAAAGGTCGTGGGGTTTGATTCCAGGTCAGGGCACTTGCCTGCGTTACGGGCCAGTTTCTCGGTTGCGGACGTGAGAGGCAACCGATGGATGTTTCTCCTCTCTCTCTCTTCCGCCTCTCTAAAAATACTTAAATAAATTTAAAACACACACACACACACACACACTAGTATTTGACTCAGTTTAATCTAACCCTTTAAAAAAAAAAATAGGCCAAATGGAGTCACTTTTGCTAAGCTACGTCAACAAAAACTTAATAACTAACCTAATTGCAGGATCAGCCTCCTATTTCTGCCTATAAAAACCTTCCAATTTCTATAACTCCTCAGCACTCCCTTTCAGTTGCTAGATGGGATGCTGCCTGATTCATTAATGAAATAATAAAGCCAATTAGATTTTCAAATTTACTTAGTTGAATTTTGTTCTTTAACACCTTTTAGGATGGCATATAAGTTAGCGTATTCTTTTTTTCCATACTTGACATCTGCACCATTAATTATTAAAAAGGGACATGAGCATTTAGCACCAATTCCTTTGTGTTACTAGTTATTTTAGGTTGAATGCAGGCCATTCAAAACACCTCATTAATATATGGGATTGAGTCCACCTAACCAGCACTAACTGCAGTTATAATGGTGATTATTGGTAAAATGTTATACTAGCAGAAAACCATTCTTTCTTTTTGTGTGTATGTTGCCCTTACTGAAATACTTAGTTTTCTCTTTTAAAAGATACGTTTCACTTTCAGAAATCAAACAGCTTCATGATCAAAATAGATTTACTTCATTTATACAACTGGTTTTATGGATGAAAAAGTACACAAAATATTTTTAATTTTAAATCATTTTTAATCTTTCAATTATAGTTGACATACATTATATTGTTTGAGGTGTACAGCCCAGTGATTAGAAATTACATAATATACTACGTAATGGTAATAAATCTTGCACCTATCTGACATACATAGTTATTGAAATATTATTGACTATATTCCCTGTGCTGTACTTTACATCCACATGACTGTTCTCTAACAGCAATTTGTATTAATACTACTTAATCGCTTCACCTTTTTCATCCATCCCCCAGCCCCCCTCCCATCTGGCAACTGTCAAAATGTTCTTTGTACCTATGACTATAAATCTTTCTGTTCTGCTTGTTTATTTTGTTTTTGAGATTCAATTGTTAATATGTATTTATTGCCATTTTATGCTCACATTTTTATTCATATTTTTTATCTTTTTTTCTTCTTAAGACCCTTTAACATGTCATATAATAGTGGTTTGGTGGTGAAATCCTTTAGCTTTTTCTTGTCTGGGAAGCTCTTTATCTGTCCTTTAATTCTAAATAATAGGTTTTCTGGATAGAATAATGTTGGTAGTAGGTCCTTGCTTTTCATCCCTTTGAATATATCTTGCTAATCCCTCTGGCCTGCAAAATTTCTGTTGAGAAATCAGCTGACAGTTTTATGGGAGTGTTCTTGTAGGTAACTGCTTTTCTCTTGCTGCTTTTTAGATTCTTTTTGTCTTTAACCTTTGGCATTTTAATTATGATGTGTCTTGGTGTGAGCCTCTTTGGGTTTATCTGGTTTGGAACTCTGCACTACCTGAACTTGTATGTCTATTTCCTTCAAGTCAGGGAAGTTTTCTGTCATTTTTTTCAAATAGGTTTTCGATTTCTTGCTCTCTGCCCCTTCCAGCACCATGTGAATGTTGTTGCACTTGAAGTTGTCCCAGAGGCTCCTTACACTATCTTCATTGTTTTGGATTCTTTTTTCTTTTTGTTGCTGTGATTGGGGTTGTTTTTTGTTTTTTGTTTGTTTGGTTTTCGGGGGGGTTGCTTTTAAATTACAAGTCACTGATTTGATTTTTGGCTTCACCCACTCTACTGTTGATTTCCTGTAAATTATTTGTTTCAGTTAGTGTATTCTTCATTTCTGACTGGTTCTTTTTATGCTATTGAAATTCCCAGTAAGTTCATTGAGCATCCTTATAACCAGTGTTTTGACCTCTGCATCTAGTTGATTACTTGTCTCCGCTTTGTTTAGTTTCTTTTTTCTGGCGGTTTATTCTGTCCTTTCATTTTGGCTATATTTCTTTGTCTCCTCATTTTGGCAGCCTCCCTGTGTTTGTTTCTATGTATTAGGTAGAGCTGCTATGTCTTCCAGGCTTGGTATGGTGACCTAATGTAGTACGTGTCCTGTAGGGTCCAATGGCACAGCCTCCTCAATCACCCAAACTAAGCACTCAAAGTGTAACCCTCATGTGGGCTATGTACACCCTCCTCTTTAGTTGAGCCTTGATTGCTCTTGGCAAGTCAATGGGAGGGATTTATCCCCAGGCTGATCAGTTGTGAGGACTGGCTGTGACCACCAATCACCAAAGAAAGATCAGCTGTGCAGGGCCCCCCGCCCCCACAGAGCAGGCCTCTGGTGCCCACCAAGTCTGCCCCTGGAGTGTGTCACTTGTGGAGGTGGCTGGGTGGTGATGCTTCAACATGGCCTGAAGCTGTCTCTTGGGTGCACAGGCTCTGGGGCCTCCTGGGAGGTGTAAGCCAAGGTCAGTCACTGTCTGTGTTCTGCCTGGTGCGACCCAGCATGAGCTACAAAGAGATGTGCAGGTGGCCACTACATGTGCTGGGTCGGAGGTGCCCAGGTGAGGCCAAGCTGTGAACCAACGCCTGTGAATCCATTGGGGAAATAGGTAAAATGTTGATATGAATGTTATTCCCCACCTCTCCCTCCTTTCTCCCTGGCAAATAAGAGAATCACTTGAGTACCTGCTCCTTTTGCTTATCTCGGAAGCAGGAACAAGAGACAAAGAGTACTATGGAGTTTGGTGTCAGATAGACTTGGATTTAAATCGGCACTTTTTACCCTATGTGACTTTGGAAAAATTAAGAGGCAGGGTAACGTTGGTGGCAAGATAAACATGAGTTCTGAATCTTGGCCATTGTCTTGACTCTCTACCAGGACAAACTAGAGTGGATATGTAATGGGAATATGTTCACTTTGTCAAAAGAATTCAGGTTCTAAGAGCAGTGGAGCCTAAACTGCCAGTTGCTAGTATGTCCTCACAGCCCAGAACTCCAATACACTGCATCTGAGAGGTCTAAATTCATTGGCTATGAAACGTCATTGTTGCTTGCAGATGATTACAGTTTTCCTTGTTTTTAGCCTGTAGCTGTGTCAGCGTGTATGATGCCATCTCGTACTAACCTGGCTACTGGAATACCCAGTAGTAAAGTAAAATACTCAAGACTCTCCAGCACGGATGATGGCTACATTGACCTTCAGGTAAGTGCAGAAGAGAGCTGATGAGAGCGGCTGGCTCTGCTCCTGATGAATTAGCAGGCAGACCTTGCAGACAGAGGGTTTGCTAAGTATCCCTGGGGATTAGAGGGAGCAGCAAGAAAGAAACCCAGGTCCTTTCAGCTGTAGCCTGCAGAAGGAGGGACCTTGGTGGAGCTGTTTCAAACCAATGGAAATGCTGTTCCTTTTTAAGAATTTTTAGTTGTAACACCAGAGCCCAATAATTGCACATTTTATTTAGTTTATCTGAAAAATAATCAGATTGTGTTGTGTTAAGTAGAGTTTTCTAAAGAACTATGTCATTGGTTTGTTTACAATTTAGTCAAAGCCAGTTCATCTTTTAAGGGAGAAACTAACTGCTAAAGCCAACACATTGTGGAATTCTTCCTTTTTTCCTGATGTCATGAGATCCAATTTATTAAAGGTATTCTTTGTGACAAACAGTAAGTAAAATAGAGTATTTATTAAGTTTGTATTCTACCCTAATCACTTTTTAGAAAATACTTAATGATGTAGAATGTCCTTTTGCCCATTTCTTCTTAGAACAGAATATTTTAGGTAGAATCAGGGCCAAGAAGGAAGTAGCAGGAAGGCATCCTTTTAAATATAAACAAATCAATTATTCTTTGTACTCTTTGGATGTGCACTTGAAGGACAGAGATTTTTTTTTTTAAGTGCATCTGGAAAAATTCTAGCCAGTTAGGTCAGATATAGCCATGATCCAAACCTTAGAAAGATTGTTTTTGAATCTTAACCTTGAATTGAACTTGTTAATAAGGCAGGTAACTTGCTCCATAGGGCAGGCAACTAATGCTTTAAAAAAAGCTGTTTCTAAAACTTTTGACTGTATGGTGACTTAACTTTGAAAGTCAGAAGCCACTTATTTTCTTTACTTCTCCAGAGTAAGATGTTCAGTCTTGAATCCGTGTAGATTAGCACCGCCTTCCATGGGCCAGGCACTTAATGAATACATGTCTAATCAATGAATAACCATTAAGTGTCTTTTTATTTGTAGGAAAATAGTTTTTTATGGTCTGTGGAATGAAACTAAAACTAGAAAGAATAACATTCTGCTGGGACTCATTGATAGAGCAGTAAACTAAAGCTTTGTCTCCTGCCTGTTCCTTTCCTTTCCGTCCCAGAGCTGCACTGGGTAGTAGGACTTACTTCAAGACATATGGAGCATTCAGATTAGTTCATATTTTCCTCCCTGCTTTAAAGTGTCTGCGCCCTGGTATTGTCATAATGCTCTTCCTTGTCTGTTTTTTTCTCTTCCAGTTTAAGAAGAGCCCTCCTAAGATCCCGTATAAGGCCATTGCGCTTGCTACAGTGCTGTTTTTGATTGGCACCTTTCTCATTATCATAGGCTCCCTCCTGCTGGCAGGCTATATCAGCAAAGGGGTAAGCTGAGGGTTTCTGGGAATTTGCCAGGAGATTTAAAATGTGAACCAGGGCTCTATTGTTTGATAATCGTATCTAGTACAGCAGATTCCAGCAGGAAGAAGAAAGGGGTTTTGGGTTCTTTTTTTTAAGACTTTGTTCTGTGATTACAAAACATAAGTTTCTTCCTTTGAACAACAAACTTCTCCCACAGTTCCTCAGAGGTGGGTGGTGTCAGGTCAGCAAATTTTCCCTCTGAGATGTTGGGCGTTTTCCTTACTCTCACAGTTTGGAACAGCAAAGCTAAGCCTAGAATCGAGGACTTCTGAATGATAAAGGCTGTAAATGGGGTAGTTTGCTGTTGTGGCTTTGCAGTGCTACAGATGTACTAGTCTGTTTTGGGGGAGAAGCAGTGAGCCTTGTGAAAGTCTGGGACCACTGACCAAGCCAGGACTTTTGGCGCATGAATCAGAGCCTTCTTATATTGGGCTTGGTCGCAGTTCCTGCTAAGCTTCAATATGGTACTTTAGAAACCTGAAGTGGTGTTTGGTGGTTCTTGGGCTCTATCTAGACATTTAAACAACGTCTGAGTTGTTTTGAACTAGTACTGATCATAATTCATGTTCTTCAACACACATCAGGTCAGGGGATCTGTGGGCATTATTTTTGGACTTGGCAATACTAGCAATATCACAGTAAAATGGCTGTATATGGGTTTTAAGAAATATATCTAATTTGCCTTACATCCTTAGCTATCTAAAACAATTAGATGGTGACCAGATGCTTACTTGGTGTGCATTCTAAGTTTGAACACCCAACTTCAGGGCTGTGCCTTTGGTTAGCTTTCATTGCATTATGGAGGATAAATCCCAAGGGTATTGTAAGGAGTCTATTAATGATATTATAGCTTTTGACTTTTGGCTGAGAGGAGGCGAAGGTGCAACTTTCTTTGGTCATCCTGAATCTGGGTTCATCTGACACCAGCCGTCTCCCCCATGCCACCGAAGTTTGACCCCAACAAAATCAAAGTCCTATGTCTGAGGTGCACCAGTAGGGTAGTTGGTGCCACGTCTGCCCTGGTCCCCAAGATTGGCCCCCTGGGTCTGTCTCCAAAAAAAAGTTGGTGATGAAATCATCGAAGCAACCCGTGGCTTGAAGGGTCTGAGGATTACAGTGAAACTGACTATTCAGAAGAGACAGGCCCAGATTAAAGTAGTGCCTTCTGCCTCTGTATTAATCATCAAAGAACCACCACGAGATAGAAAGAAGCAAAAAAACATTAAGCACAGTGGCAGTATCACTTTTGATGAGATTGTCAACATTGCCCGACAGATGGGGCACCGATCTTCAGCTAGAGAACTCTCTGGAACCATTAAAGAGCCCGGGAACTGCCCAATCTGTGGGCTGCAATGGCGATGGCCGCCACCCTCCTGACATCACAGATGACATCAACAGCGCTGCTGTGAAACGCCCCGCTAGTGAAGACCTACAAAGGAAAATATTTCAATTAAAGATCATTTGACAACCAAAAAATATATAAAAATTGAAAGTGGAGGTGAGATCCACATGCAACAATACCATTTTATTTTGTGTGGTTTATAAAGACTACTCAATAAATAAGAATAAGATGTTAATTTTTTAAAAATCTCTAAGCCCTGGCAGGTTGGCTTAGTTGATTGGAACATTGTCCCGTACACCAAAAAGCTGCAGGTTCAACTTCTGGTCAGAGCACATACCTAGGTTGCAAGTTTGATCCCCAGTTGGGGTGCATACAGAAGGCAACCAATTGATATATCTCACTCACATTGGTGTTTCTCTCTCCCTCTTTTCCTCCATTCATCTCTCCTAAAATCAGTAATCATATATTTAGGTGAGGATTAACAAAAAAAGAAGAAGAAAATCAGTAATAGGTTGTCGCAGGGAGCACTGCGGTGGAGTGCGGGACTCCTGGATCTGAGGGTTACCGCCTGGCGCCAGCTGAGGAGGGAGCGAGGCTCTGAATCCTGCAGATTCATTGTCCCGGGGTTGTCACGGATGGGGGAATAAACACGAGATGGCGCAAACACTTCTCTGTTTGCCAGGAGAGGAGACATGGCTCTTTAGGGGAGAGAAGGCCCCAAACCCCCTGTCCAAAGGCTTTTATTGAGAGCCAAGGGCACAGAGGTATGCAGCAAAGCTCATCAATCAATGTCAAAAGGCTATGTTTACAGAAAACAAATAGAGATCATGGATAACAATTAGAGGAACACAGGACATCTGCCTCAGGTCAGGGTCTATGAATAATGTAAATCTCCTTCCCAGTATGAGCCCATTATCATCACTTTTGAGGGAAGAACAAAGCATGCTTAGAGGAACTGACTTCTAGGCCTGATTGTCCCCGGGAATTGACCAACCCAGTTTAGGGCTGTACCTGCCTTTAATATTGTTTCAAACCTAAGCCAGGCAGGCAGGGCAGAGCCACCAAGAAGTAAGGAGGCTTCTTTCAGATGAAATGAGGGTTCCGGCCAAGTCGAAGGTGAGCCGAGGTGTGCAGGCCTTTTTTGCCCTTTCTCCGTGTCCCCCAAGTCCTTGTCCTGCTGCTAATACTGGCCAATGTCTGGCTTAGGTTGTCCCTCCTCGTGAGAGAACTTACCCATCATCAACAAGTGACTATCACAGGGCCAACCAGGGTGATGTGAGAGGACAGGTTTCACCTCCTCAGGGGCCTGTTTTTCCAAGGCCTCCTTGAATATTTCCAGCCTTGGGGCCTTCTTGCCTGTCGGCCGGGCTACAGTCCCTGAAACCAGACAGGGCGTTTCCCAACAATAGGTTTTCTTTTGTTTTTTGGTTTGGGTTTTTTTTTTTTACTTTTTATTACAGATAATTCAAGCAAAACAGAAGCAGCTGAAATATTACAATGAACCCCTATGTGTCCACCGTGCAGCATCAACAGTTACAAACATTTATTTAATCTATCCGCCTCAACTTTTTTCCTGTGTATTAAAGCAGACACCAGATTTACATTTTGCTGGTAATTCTTTTTTTCTTTTTTCTTTTTTTTTTAATCCTCACCCAAGGACATTCTTATTGATTTTAGAGAGAGGGGAAGGGAGGGAGAAAGAAAGGGAGAAAAACATCGATGTGATAAAGAAACATCAGTCAGTTGCCTCTCTCATGCGCCCTAACTGGGATTGAACAAACATACAACCCAGGCATATGCTCCAACCAGGAATTGAACCTGCAGCCTTTTGGTTTATGGGACCATGCTCCAACCAACTGAGCCACACCAGCCAGGGCTTGCTGGTGAATTCTTAAGTGTGCATCTTTAGTATGCATCTCTAACAGTTTTTACATAAATCTTGGGATGCTGTCTTAATATTATTTACCTTATTCTATTTCTCATATTTCTTGCAAACTGTTAGATTTAGGGACTTCCTTCGATTTGGATTTAATTTAGTTTAATTTTGTTTTAGAAAGAATATTTCATAAGAAGCGCCACGTATTTACTGTAGCACATTGATTCTCAAACTTCAGTGTCAATCAGCATTACCTTGTAGGTTTGTTAGCACACAGATCTCTTGCTCTCATTCCCAGAGATTCTAGCTGTAGGTCTGGCAGGGGCATGAGAATTTGCATTTCTTAATAAGTTCCCAGGAAATGCTGGTGGTCTAAGGACCACATTTTGATAACATTGCCATAGCATTACATTAGGAGACACATGGTTGTCCTAGTTTTTAGTGGATATTAAGATTGATTCCGGGGTTCAAGTGTTTTCAGCTAAATTCACTTATTATGAACTTCTCCATCACTCTTTACACTTATGAGTCAGTTTTATCATTTTCTGCATTTATCGGATGAAATTCTTCTATAAAGAACCTTCTCAAATTTGCTCTTTGGTTACCCTGAAATCCAGTGTGTATATAGTGAAGGTAGGAAACATGTTTGATTATTTCTCTATTTTAACTTTTATATAAATATATCTAGCAACCTCAACAAATGACCACAGAATTATTAGTATCATTATAAACTCATCATTTTTAAAGTATTTTTGCTTTAATTAGTTTTAGTTTTTATACTTTTAACATATAAATCATCCCAAATTGGGTCAGTTAGGAGCCCATTCAGTTCACTCCTGTGTCGTTTAAACCTGACCTGTGTAGCCTTTGATAGCTTCTTGCTTCCTGGTGCAGCAGGTTACCCATTTCCTGCCCTCTAGCTTGTCAACAGCCCTTATCTCTAAGGAGCCCTGATTTAGAGGTCTCCCAAACTGGGCATTAATGGTGCTCATTGCTAGTGGTTTTCATTGTTCCTAGATCTTTTCAGAGACAGAATCAGGAAATAGGTATCTTTTAGAAAACATGGGAAAATAATATAGAGATACCACATAGATATAAAAATACAGATATTTCTAATGCAAATTTAAGATTAGAATTCTTTGTATATGTATGTCTATCCTAGTGATATTTGTATAATTACTTGCCTTACTCTGCATATAATTGCTTCAAAATAACAGTAACTGTATTAAATGCCAAATATAGGAAGGCTGAATGCACCATAAGTTTTCTTTGCAATTCTTTGAATCCTTAGAATATGACTATTAGGGATGTAGTGAAATCTTGTTAAAGATAAAAGGAGAAAAGGAGAAAATGTAAAAGAAGGTAACAGAGAAAGCACCAAGCAAGTCCAATTGTGAGAGCTGTAGACTTTATTCTTTCTGATTTTCAAATAGTCCATCTTTGGCCCAAAGGAGCCCCTTTAAGTTCTCTTTCCTTGTGTTTAAGCTCATGTTTATTGAGTCATTGTGTGCCAGCTGGGGCCACTTGCTTTACATGTATTACCTCATTGAGTTTTCACAATGACCATATGGAGTAAATACTGCTTCTCTTTCTGTTTGTGAATGAAGCAGCCAAAATTGTATTGATTAGATAACTCATCAGTATACTTTATGTAAATAGCCCTATTAAAAGGAGATTTATAGGTTGAGTTTAAATCTTTGGATGAGGGAACTCTTCCTAAACTTAAAAACAATGGGAAAAGTCACAAAGAAAAAGGAGGATAAGTTTAACTATAAAACATTTAAAATTGCATGTATAAAACCAAGACAGACAAAGCAGTTTTGTAAAGGTGAATTCATTCAGCACATTTATTGAGCCTCTCTTATATGTCGGGCACAGCTGGGGATACAGGGATGAACAAAGTCCCTATCCTAATGGAATTCTCCCAAAAGTTGAAGCCCTACTGATAAAGAGATTAAACACTATTCCTCCGTCTTTGACCTATGAATCATGCTCATGGGAATATACACTAAAGAAATAATCTGAAATGGCAAGGAAAACACTGAAATTTAGTGTGGTATTCTGTACAGTCACAAAAAATGAGAGACAACTAAAATATCCAACCGTCCAGGGTGGTGGGATGGGATTAAGTAAAATTACAAAACATTACAGTGGAATGCTACATACCATTAGGTGATATCTATTGGTTTTGGCCTGGCACAGCATGACCCGTGGCCATGTGGTCCATGCCATTGCTGCAGCCCCTGTGGAGGTGTCTGCAACAAGATGAAGCTCATCATTTTGGACCTCTACTCTCAGGTCAGGGTGTGGGCTGCCAAATACATCAGGAACTGCATCATCAGGTTTAATCCAGGACCAGACAAGCACTTCACCCGGTGGCTCCCCACTGGGAGCACCCCACCTGGCTGCTGCAAGAAGCCAATTGAGTACTGTAAGAATGGAGACCTGTGTTTCAAATACGTGAAGACTGCCAACGTGGGCAAGTACGTGGATCTTCCCTGAGACCACCCAGAGAGTTACCACTCCTTTATGTGGAAAAACTTCTTTAAACACACTGACACTCATCCAGAAAACATCAACATTCTGGATGGTAATGCTGCTGACCTACAGGCTGAAACTGACGCCTTCAAAGAAAAGATCAAGGATATAGATGGGATTGAGCAGTTTATTAGAGGCATCAACCCCGATGGACATGTTGCCTTCAATGAGCTGGTCTCTAGCCTGGTGTCCGGGACCCATACGAAGACGCTGGACATAAACACCATGCTGGCCAGTGCTAGGTTCTTCAATGGACATCTCGCAAGGGTGCCCACTGTGGCCCTGACGGTGGGTGTGGGCACTGTCATGGATGCTAAGAGAGGACGATCCTCATCACAGGAGCTCACAAGGCATTAGTACAAAGCCATCGAGGAGGGAAAGTGAACCATGTGTGGACTGTGTCATGTCTGCCCTCCAGCCCCATCCCTGCACTGCGATTGTGTGTGATGAGGATGCCACCCTGGAGCTGAAAGTGAAGACCGTCAAGTATTTCAAAGGTTTCCTGCTTGTTCATAACAAGTTGGTAGACCCCTTGTACACTGTCCAAGAGAAAGAAACAGAGAAAAAACAGTCTTCTAAGAAACCACACTGTGATTAGCCTGTGCTAATCCTTGTGTCGAATGGCTCATCGAGACAGGCAGGTCTTTCTGGAACTTGTCTTTAGGACAGATTTGTGTTTCTTTAATCCACGCTGATTACTCCAGATAAATGGGTGAACTAATATGCAGCATAGAGCCTAGTTGTAGAGTTTAGCTACAGGAGAAATGACTTGTTTGTAACTAACTCTTAATCAGAAAAAATATTCTAGGAGGTTTTAGCTTTGTTCGGCCTCTGACACTGTTCACATGTGCAACACACTCCTGTCAGGAATTTCTGTCATTATGCGTAGATTCTCAGTTGGGGGGAGTATTTGACAAAATGTCTTTGAAGAGGTTTGAGAGCCCCTCTTGAGCAGGCCTGCCCCGTACTTGAGAATCACTGCTCCAGATTAAGGCACAAGCTCTGAATGTCTTATATGAGCATAAGGAGGCAGTCTCTCTGGTCACTAACAAGTGCCAGGGAAAGAGAACTGCCCCATTTCTTTTATTCTCAGTTGGCCTTTCCATGAACTCTGAAGACTCCTTCGGGGAAGATTTGGGAGGGTAACACTAAAGAGAAGGCTTTGCTGACAAACTCAGAACTTCAAGAGGCCCAAGCAATGTTAAAATCCTCTCCCTAGGGACCCTCCAGCACCAGAAGGAAGGTAGAAACCCTTTTCCCACCAGAGGCCTATGTTTTTGTTCCAAGGTCTCACTGTGGCTCCCCCTTTTACACATTCATTAAAAGTAGAAGGTCCACTGGGGCAACAGGCACTGGCATGATTTCAGAATGGTATTCAGCCAGGGCGACGGGGCTGGAGCAAGCAGCTCAGTTAGGAGTTTAGTCATACAACACATGAGTGACATGTTCTGCTTCCCTAGGAGTTGAGTGTTAAGACAACATACAAATGCTTCTAAAGTTGCCTTTCTCCAAATAAAATACCCCACCCTTCTAACCCTCTCAGGTTCTTGTGGCATGCTCTGATGTTTCCAGAATATCAGGAAATGCAACCCTCTTGTCCCTTTATCTTTCATCCCTGTTCACAATATGAGTCTATTTCTCTGCCTGCTTTTACTTTCTTAAGCCTCCTTCTCTTTGTTTCAAGTGGCTGCTGCCTGGCACAGGCCTCTAAGTTCTGTGTTTGGTACCAGCATTTTGCCTTTAGCTTTTATACGTTGTTGTGCTGTCAATCTGTTTTAAGCTAATAGATCATGGGCTTGTTTATGGTGTGATATTTTCTGTTAAATCCAATATTTAAAAAAAAAAATTATAACACTGGCCAGGTGGCTCATTTGGTTGCAACATTGTCCTGATACACCAAGGTTATGGGTTCAATCCCTGGTCAGGGCACATACAGGAATCAACCAAAGGATGCATATAATAATATATGTGGCACAAATCAATGTTTCTCTCTCCCTTCTCTCCCTCTCTAAAAATCAATAAATAAAAAAATTTAAAAATCCATTACATTAGTTTCAGGTGTACAACATAATGATTCAATATTTGTAAATAGTGCAAAATATCACCACAATAAGTCTAGTTAACACCCGTCATCACTCATAATTATACATTTTTTATGTGATGAGAATTTTTAAGATCTACTCCCTCATCCACTTTTAAATATACAGTACAGCATTCTTAACTGTAGTCATCATGCTCTACATCTCCAGGATTTATTTATTGCATAACTGGAATTTTGTACCTTTGAACACTTCACCCATTTCTCCCACCTCTGTACCCTACAGTGAAAAGCTTTTAGTAATATTTTGCCAATATCTTGTTATAAGACACAAAAAACAAGGCACAGAGTGTGTTCACAACCAAAAACGTTATATAAGTAGTAAAACAAGCTAAAATATCTTTGGATGAACATGGATAATTTATTATCTTTATAATTTTTAGTACTTTGCAAGTTTTTAAAAAAAAATGTATTGATTGTAGAAAGAGGAAAGAAGAGAGAGAAACGTTGACTTGTTCCATTTATTTATGCATTTATTGTTGCTTCTTGTGTGTGCCCTGACCAACCGGGTATCAAACCTGCAAACCTTGGCGTATCGGGATGACACTCTAACCAACTGAGCTACCCTGCTAGGGCATTACTTTGCAGTTTTCCTACAATTGATAATCAGGAGAAAAAAAGATGTAAACCTTTGCCCTAGGTAGTGTATTACCCAAAGAAAATACTCCGAAAAGTGTAAGGTACTGATCTGCAGATTGGATCCGTGTGTTATTTTAAAATTTGTAACTTGTGTAGTACTAATGCGTTTGCCTCTTTCTTCCACTAGGGGGCAGACCGGGCCGTTCCTGTCCTAATCATTGGCATCCTAGTGTTCCTGCCAGGATTCTACCACCTGCGCATCGCCTACTATGCATCCAAAGGCTACCGGGGTTACTCCTACGATGACATTCCAGACTTTGATGACTAAGCTCAGCTTTGAGATATTGAGCAGTTTGGCTAAACTATGGCTAAAAGCTGAGGAATTCTGCAGTTTGCAGATGTTTAACAATAGTCAGGTTTAATGGGTCCATCCTCAAGACTTAACGGAGCTTACAGTTAGCTAATTAGGGCATGCTCTATTTTTCATCTCCTGGCCCCGACAAAAAGCCAACAAGCTTTTCTGCAGGAACATGCCTGTATCATGGAAGAATAGCAATGTTAATTGTATGGAAAAATGGGAGGTTATTCTGTAGTAGAAAGTGCTGCTGCTACCACCCTTTTTGGAGTTGAACATTTCTTTTGAATAGTCTGTATTGTCAATTTGTTCTTGTGGCAAATGGAAGAATGCAATATGTGAAATTTACTACTAAGTAGTTTATTTTGAAAACAAGTATCTTATCCCCTATGCTCTAACTTCATGTTCTAGTGGAAGACCTTGGCAAAATCAAATATTAGCGTGGATGCATCTGTAATATTAAGAACAATCAGGAATTTTTTTAAACCTCAGAGCAAGTTTTCAAAATATAAACACTTTCTCTGTTCACCACTCCTTGGCCAGCTCTGGTCTGATTCACCGATAAGTTGGGCACTGTATAATTTGGGTAATTCTGTCCCTTAAATATTAAGATGCTCTGTATATCTTGCCTTTAAGGACTGGACCTACGGCTGTTTTCTAAGGAAAAATGTAGATAAGTGGTTGTTCAGAGTTTTTAACCACATTGTTAGCACCTTGTGTTACGATGTCATTCTGCTGAAAGTCACAAGATTTGGTCTGTATCCTTAGGAGACTACATTGCCTTAGTTTGATTCTGTTTCCTAGCTTGCAAAAAGTGACATGTTAAAAAAAAAATTAAAATGTCAAAATCTAAATCCTACACTTAAATGAGTTAACTTTAAACATATTTCAGGAAAGATTTTAATGATTATATGGTATCATAGATGCCAATAGCCAGGACAACTTTCATTTTTAGGTAACTGGCATTGCAGTTCAGAGTGCTTTCAGTCAAGCTTTTACCCTGAGGTTGTGGATTGATCAACTAGAGGCCTGGAAATGCTATTAGCTCTGATTTAGAGGGTCGTGGGTAGAGCAAGTTAACGGGGGAAAATGTGTTCAGCTTTGGGTGTGTTAAGTTTTAGATGTTTGTTCTACATCTAAGTGGAGCTGTTGGCTAGGCAATTGCAATGTGCAAGTTTGGAGCTCAGGAAGGGAGTCTAGGGACAGGTAGAAAGTTGAGTCAGTGTTGTGACAGTATCTAAGCACAATGAGCCTGGATGAGAGCTCCCATGGAGTGAATGCGCATGGGAAAAAAACACTAGGACTCAGAAAATGAGGGACAAAGACGGTGGGTGACCTGAAGCAGCCTCCGAGGTTAGGTACATTTGTTAATGAGAGGATAGGCTGGGGAGTCAGTAGTCTAATTAAAGTCCAAGGGCCTTGGCAGTGAAGATGTAAGGAAATATATAAAGCTTTATTCCAGCCTGTGTTTGCAAAGAAAAGCTCAGGCAAGGTTTTGGTCAAACCAGATTACTTGGTCCTTTTTTTCCTTTTTTAAAAAGACTTTATTTTTAGAGAGAGGGGAAAGGAGGGAGAAAGAGGGAGAGAAACATCAATGTGTGGTTTCCTCTTATGTGCTCCCAACTGGGGACCCAGCCTGCAACCCAAACATGTGCCCTGACCGGGAATCGAACCCTTGGTTCACAGGCTGGCGTTCAATTCATTGAGCCACACCAGCCAAGGCTACTTGGTCCTTTTTATAAGGGTAATCTTGCTAGTGGTAAAGGGGTGGCAGGATGGAACAGAGGGCTATAAAATGAAAAGTAAGCATTTGGCTGAGTAAACATTTGCCCCCCCCAGCCCATTCCCCAAGGTTCTCTAATTAAGTTTCTTGTATACCCTCCCCACCCTTCCTGAAATATTCTGTGTGTGTGTCTCCTTAAAAAAAAACAAACTTGGGCTCTCATTGTATAGTTCTATAATTTTGGTTTTTTCCCTGTTCTGTTTTGTATATCTTTCCATCTCCACAGATCAGCCACATTTTCTAAAATAAGTTATAGGTACAGTTTTTCATGCTGTGCATGTAGTGACGGGGTCCTAAGAGCAGAGACCATAAATGTGAGACGCCTAGAGCAGGAATCCTCTCTTGGATGTCCCCTGACAAACGGCCCTTGCTGTTCTATTTGAATATTCAGACTCATAATGTCAGTGCATTTGGATTGTTACAAGAGTATTCTTTATTAAGTCAAAATTCGGAATCCCCGTAACTATGCATTGACAGCAATTGTATCTTCTAGTGCTTTATGGAAAATATCTAGACCTCCATAATCACAGTGAATGTTTCTTTAACCCTTTGCCCAATTTTGTGTCAAGCACTTTCATTATGTATTCTACTTCATTTTAGTCCTTGGGTAAACCCCAAGTTGGGTAAAATTCTTAAGCAATAGGTTGGATATTTACAACTGAAATTTAGGAAAAGCCTGGATTTACTCTTACCAGGTGTGAAAGCCAAATACCTTTAGGGGCTGAGCAGGTGAGGAAGTGGGAGGGGGGTATGGACTGTAGTAGGGACGAATGTATATTTTACCTAAAAGTGGCCTTCTTCCCCTTTCCGACCCCCTGGCCTTTATAGTGTTGGTCAAACCATGTGCCCTAGCCTGGTAAGGGTTTTCTTATTTGCAACAACTATTACGCCACTCAAGTCTGAAAGTCCTCCCCAGTTACATCAGCTGTTCTGCACATGATGGGAAGTCCACACCCACTGCCTCTGGATGAACTTCACCAGCTCAATGTGCCAGAAGCATATTGACTGCTTCCTTTCTACCAGGAATCATCAGGTGCTAAAGGTACAACGTGAAAAGATAGGGTTTGGTTAGTGAGGAGCAGAGTTTGCAAACTAGTGGCCACAGACATTGACCTGCATTTTGTTTTTAAAAAATAGGAAGATTCACATGATCTTGATTTTTGGCTTTTCTTTGATACTGAGGGGCTACAATCAACTGGAGCAAGGTGGTAAAGCAGCTTTATCTTAGCAGAATTCTCTGGTTCACTGTGGTTCCCACCACTGCTTAGTTACTTTCCTACCCAGCCTGCTAATTGTCTGCACTGAAGGCAAACAGTGTCTGAGGGCCCACAGAGTCTAGCACAGTGCTTGTGGTCACTTAGGTTTATTGAGTAAAGAACCAAAATCCAGAGTGTATTTCCATCCCAGGATGCTTTGCTTCAGGGTGTGCACAGATGGGCTGGTACCATTTGATTCAGATTTTCCTAAATGATCCTCTTATATCACCTGACTGGCAGTCTAGCTACTCTTTAGAGTTGGCGCTACCCAGTGAGTCAAGTCCAATGAGCCCAGTTCAGAACCGTCTGTGAGTTCCCTCTGAGGTCAGGTGATGTCCCTGCCAGCTGGCACCAAAGGACCTGTTACGGGTGTGGTAAGGGAAGCCTGTAGAGGGACAATCATAGCTTTGACTTTCTGCTGGCCTTCAAAGACTCATAAACCAAATCAAACTACCTTAGTTACCTTGCTCTGTCATCTAAATTCCCATCCTGAGGCTTCTCTCCTAGATTCAGCCCCAGACTCCTGACCTCACAGGTGTGTAGTTCGATCATGGTTTAGTGCCGTGGTGGGAAGGCACAGACTACTTCGTATTAGCTACGAGGTGTTAGGCAAATTACCCCCGGAGCCTGAGGTATCTTATTAAATGGGGTAAACCTCACGGGGTAATTGTGAGGATTAAATAAAACAACATGGGAGAGCGCTTCACTGACACGTAGTAAGTACCACTAAGTGGAGGCTGTCCTTTGAGAAAGTGAAGGTCACATTTTGACCTCAAGGAGTAGTGCCTGGAGTGAAGCTTAAGAGGAGGGGAGAGCCCATCAGTTATTCGCAAGTCCAACCTGAAGAGCCTGCTGTTTCATGGTGAAATTACCCCAGAGCTAGGAGCCCGAACGCGCATGGCAGTCAGCTGCAGCCAAGGCAGGGCTCCCATCCTTGACAGAAACACCTGCTGGGAGAAATGAGCGCGCCAGCCCCTGGGCTTCCCCCTCTGCTATGCAATTGGGCCCGGGAGCTGTGTGCTCCAGTCGTCCTCTGGAATAAGGGGGGATCAGGAAGGACTAAAGTGCTCCATTGTAGCGAACGTGTGGGCCACGGAGGCCCCTGCCCCAGGAGACCCTGCAGGGAAGGTCTTGAAGAGGAGGTGATGCAGCAGGAGCTCCATCAAACCAGCTCTCCCTGCACCTTGTTCCCTCCCTGTTGTCCCCACAGTCCCCATTTTTACCTTGTTCTGCGCTTCCTCTCAGTCTTGCCCCTTGCTTTTCAAAATGTGGTCTGTGGACCAACGGCATCAACATCACCGGGGAGTTCCTTAGAAACGCAGAATCTTGGGCCTGCCCCAGCTCTGCTAAATCAGAGCCTGCACTTGAACAAGACCTTGGGAGGCGGTGGAGGGGGGCCCAGGGGGCGGGCTCCATTGTGTGTCAGTGTCTGAGAAGCACTGGTCTGGGGTACCCTGGACCTCCTAGTCCATTTTCTCACTTCGAGACTGGATCTCCTGGCTATGTCCATGGTCGGAGGTGGGAGGCACCCAGAAGGTATCGCCCCTCCTCCATCCACCTGTACTCTCCAGCTAAAATAGTAACTCTCAAGGTCTTGAGGACGTGTCACAGTAATGGCAAGGAAAAAATGCAAGGAGCTCTATGAAGATCTTTTTTGTGCGTAGTGAGAAATCAAAACAGATGCCCCACCAGAGAGGAAGGGCCACGGCAGGACTGGAAACACACTTTGGTGCTCTGAAGGCCAGGGGAAGGAAACAATGTGACATTTACGACCCAGTGAAAGGCAGGATATCTTTTCTGTTGGTTTCTGTGGGAGGCAAGCCTGGTGGCTTAGGAGTTGAGCTCGAACACTGGAGGTAGGTGCTGGCTTCCCTCCTTGTCTGACTCTGATGCCTCCTGTTGCTCATTCCTCTCATTAACTTTAGAAGAGCCAGCTCGAAAATACTCCAGCCTGAAGGATCAAGTTTCTTAGCCAAGATGCGAATCCTTCAAGAGGGTTTTCTATAGAATCAATATCTGCAGAGTTTGCACTGAGATCACCACCCATATGACCAATATCCCCCTGCAACTGAAAAGATGACAGCAGCAGAATCACCAACACAGCTTAGGAGAGTGTGTGGCCTGGTGGAGCTGAGAAAATGGCATGCACCAGGTGAGAGGGGTGACCATGACAAGCTGGGGTAGGTCAAATCTCTCTGGACAAAGCCACAGACTCCTGTCCCTGTAGCTCCGATCTGAACATTTTAACACTGACGAAGGATTTGCTGAGAGTTCAAGCTGCCCCTTCACGAGGTTGTCAGAAAATGCCAAGGATTTTCCCCATATGATGGTGAATGAAACCGCAGTGAGACCAGAGGACCCGTGGATGATGTTGGCCCAAGATCAAGGACTCCTGCTCATGCTGAATGCTGACTGGAAATAAATCTTCTATTGTATTTCGCTCCCAGGTGTTTTCATCCCACCTCCAGTAAGGGACCAGGGAGTTTTCCCTCTCCTTTGGTCTTATCTCATCCATTGGCAATAAAAGGAGTTAATTTGTCAAAGGACAGAGATTAGGGTTTTGCAATTTAGAAAAACAAAGCAGGCACAAAATCTATAAAGTCACATAGCATGCTGGCAGTGTGGACCTACGTTTACTTACAAAGGCCCAGGTCACCGAAACTTGATACTTAAGAGCAGTTTGGGGGCAAACTATCTCTTTATTAAAACAAATCAACTTAAACATTAACCCAGAGAGTAGACCACAGAGCTTTGAAAGCAGCCCGATCTTGATACAACGAGGTCCTCCACATGTCCTAACTGTTATCAGGCACAGCTGTAATCTAACCTTGGTTTTATGTCTAAACTTTGATTTTAATTGACCTGTTAATTCACCTTGAACTCACTTTAAAGTTCATCCATGCAACACTTTTTTGGGCACTTACTATAGACAGAGCACTTTGCTAAGTATCAAAAAGGAAACATTCACTTGCTCCAGAAATTTGTAACTTACGTGCGGAGATTACGGAGAAAGAGCCATACTGAACTAGCTAAACAAATGCAGTAAGTAATGTTAAATGAGTAATTTAGAAAAGTGTTGCTCTCCTGAGTGGACTGGAGAGGAGAAGAGGATTAGCAGGTGCTGGAAAGGTCTGGCTGAGACAGGGCGGGTGGGAGGGGAACTTGGGTGGGCCCCAAACTGGGGTGCTGTGGTCTGGGCCGCCCCCCCACCCCCCGCCCCAGGGTGGGCACTGAGAGCTGAAGATTAAGGTTGCCTCGGTGACACAGGACTCGGTTGTGACCAGCTAAAGAATGAAGAGTTATGGTAGTTTTCTTTTTAAATTCTGTTTTATTTTTCTCAAAATTATCAATGCATATACTTTTAAAAAGTCAGTTCCACCAGACTCGTTATGAAAACCAATAGTTCTCTGCAACCCCTCCTCCCTCACTCTTCGAAAGACAACCACCAATTCTTCCAGCTGAATCTTTTAGTATTGACTTCAATATTTCCACATGTGATATTTATAGTAACGCTTCACAGTTTTTCGGTATTTGGCCCAGGCAATGGGCTTTCTCCAGCAGGAGATGGAGATTTTTTTTCTGTCCCCTCTCGTCCCCCATCATAGTCACATACTGGCAGCTCCTCCATTCTCTCCGTAGAACTGTGTCATTTTAATTGGATCAATACTCAGCATTTGAGTTGGCATTACTCAGCATTTATATAAACCGTATTTCCAGCTAAACCAGACGTATACCATGACTGACTTCTCACTTGCGGCACAACTTTTAGTGTTCCCTGGAACGACCGATATTATTTTGTTTGTATGATTTTCTGTGTACCAGTCGGTAATTCAGACTGCGGCCATTGCTCTACCTCCCAGTATTCCACCCGGTTCACCTCGAGGAACCCTCTCCAGGGCCTGCTCCCCTGCTCTCTCCTTGTCCCCGAGAAGGGAGGGTATGACTGCCGTGCCTTCAGGCTCCCTGTGGGACATCTATGGAGGTGTCTGGTGCCACTCTGCAGGTTTTTCATTTTGCTATTATTTTTCTCTGGATGCTTGTAGGAGTTTCTTCAGTGTTCTGAAATTTCACAATGACATGTCTTATTGTTGCCCTGTTTTAATTTAGCACCGATTGTCCATTTTGCCAGGG